GACATAAAGACAGTTGTCAGGTAAATAGAAGACATGACAGTTGTCAGGTAAATAGAAGACATAAAGACAGTTGTCAGGTAAATAGAAGACATAAAGACAGTTGTCAGGTAAATAGAAGACATGAAGACAGTTGTCAGGTAAATAGAAGACATGAAGACAGTTGTCAGGTAAATAGAAGACATCAAGACAGTTGTCAGGTAAATAGAAGACATAAAGACAGTTGTCAGGTAAATAGAAAACATAAAGACAGTTGTCAGGTAAATAGAAGACATAAAGACAGTTGTCAGGTAAATAGAAGACATAAAGACAGTTGTCAGGTAAATAGAAGACATAAAGACAGTTGTCAGGTAAATAGAAGACATGAAGACAGTTGTCAGGTAAATAGAAGACATGAAGACAGTTGTCAGGTAAATAGAAGACATGACCGTTGTCAGGTAAACAGAAGACAAGACAGTTGTCAGGTAAACAGAAGACATGAAGACAGTTGTCAGGTAAATAGAAGACATGAAGACAGTTGTCAGGTAAACAGAAGACATGACAGTTGTCAGGTAAATAGAAGACATAAAGACAGTTGTCAGGTAAACAGAAGACATGAAGACAGTTGTCAGGTAAATAGAAGACATGAAGACAGTTGTCAGGTAAACAGAAGACATGACAGTTGTCAGGTAAATAGAAGACATGAAGACAGTTGTCAGGTAAATAGAAGACATGAAGACAGTTGTCAGGTAAACAGAAGACATGACAGTTGTCAGGTAAATAGAAGACATAAAGACAGTTGTCAGGTAAATAGAAGACATGAAGACAGTTGTCAGGTAAATAGAAGACATAAAGACAGTTGTCAGGTAAATAGAAGACATAAAGACAGTTGTCAGGTAAATAGAAGACATGACAGTTGTCAGGTAAATAGAAGACATAAAGACAGTTGTCAGGTAAACAGAAGACATGACAGTTGTCAGGTAAATAGAAGACATAAAGACAGTTATCAGGTAAATAGAAGACATGAAGACAGTTGTCAGGTAAATAGAAGACATAAAGACAGTTGTTAGGTAAATAGAAGACATAAAGACAGTTGTCAGGTAAATAGAAAACATAAAGACAGTTGTCAGGTAAATAGAAGACATAAAGACAGTTGTCAGGTAAATAGAAGACATAAAGACAGTTGTCAGGTAAATAGAAGACATAAAGACAGTTGTCAGGTAAATAGAAGACATAAAGACAGTTGTCAGGTAAATAGAAGACATAAAGACAGGTAAATAGAAGACATGAAGACAGTTGTCAGGTAAATAGAAGACATGACCGTTGTCAGGTAAACAGAAGACAAGACAGTTGTCAGGTAAACAGAAGACATGAAGACAGTTGTCAGGTAAATAGAAGACATGAAGACAGTTGTCAGGTAAACAGAAGACATGACAGTTGTCAGGTAAATAGAAGACATAAAGACAGTTGTCAGGTAAACAGAAGACATGAAGACAGTTGTCAGGTAAATAGAAGACATGAAGACAGTTGTCAGGTAAATAGAAGACATGACAGTTGTCAGGTAAATAGAAGACATGACAGTTGTCAGGTAAATAGAATACATGACAGATGTCAGGTAAATAGAAGACATGGCAGATGTTAGGTAAATAAAAGACATAAAGACAGTTGCCAGGTGAACAGAAGGCATCACAGATGCCAGGTAAATAGAATACATGACAGTTGCCAGGTAAATAGAAGACATGACAGTTGTCAGGTAAATAGAAGACATGACAGATTCCAGGTAAATAGAAGACATGACAGATGTCAGGTAAATAGAAGACATAAAGGCAGTTGTCAGGTAAATAGAAGACATAAAGACAGTTGTCAGGTAAATAGAAGACATAAAGACAGTTGTCAGGTAAATAGAAGATATAAAGGCAGTTGTCAGGTAAATAGAAGACATAAAGGCAATTGTCAGGTAAATAGAAGATATAAAGGCAGTTGTCAGGTAAATAGAAGACATAAAGGCAGTTGTCCAGGTAAATAGAAGATATAAAGGCAGTTGTCAGGTAAATAGAAGACATAAAGACAGTTGTCAGGTAAATAGAAGACACAAAGGCAGTAGTCAGGTAAATAGAAGATATAAAGGCAGTTGTCAGGTAAATAGAAGATATAAAGGCAGTTGTCAGGTAAATAGAAGACATAAAGACAGTTGTCAGGTAAATAGAAGACATAAAGACAGTTGTCAGGTAAATAGAAGACATAAAGACAGTTGTCAGGTAAATAGAAGACATAAAGACAGTTGTCAGGTAAATAGAAGACATAAAGACAGTTGTCAGGTAAATAGAAGATATAAAGGCAGTTGTCAGGTAAACAGAAGACATAAAGGCAGTTGTCAGGTAAATAGAAGATATAAAGACAGTTGTCAGGTAAATAGAAGACATAAAGACAGTTGTCAGGTAAATAGAAGATAGAAAGGCAGTTGTCAGGTAAATAGAAGATATAAAGGCAGTTGTCAGGTAAATAGAAGACATAAAGACAGTTGTCAGGTAAATAGAAGATATAAAGACAGTTGTCAGGTAAATAGAAGACACAAAGGCAGTTGTCAGGTAAATAGAAGACATAAAGACAGTTGTCAGGTAAATAGAAGACATAAAGGCAGTTGTCAGGTAAACAGAAGATATAAAGGCAGTTGTCAGGTAAATAGAAGATATAAAGGCAGTTGTCAGGTAAATAGAAGATATAAAGACAGTTGTCAGGTAAATAGAAGACATAAAGGCAGTTGTCAGGTAAATAGAAGACATAAAGGCAGTTGTCAGGTAAATAGAAGACATAAAGGCAGTTGTCAGGTAAATAGAAGACATAAAGACAGTTGTCAGGTAAATAGAAGATATAAAGGCAATTGTCAGGTAAATAGAAGACATAAAGGCAGTTGTCAGGTAAATAGAAGACATAAAGACAGTTGTCAGGTAAATAGAAGATATAAAGACAGTTGTCAGGTAAATAGAAGACACAAAGGCAGTTGTCAGGTAAATAGAAGACATAAAGACAGTTGCCAGGTAAATAGAAGACATAAAGGCAGTTGTCAGGTAAATAGAAGATATAAAGGCAGTTGTCAGGTAAACAGAAGATATAAAGGCAGTTGTCAGGTAAATAGAAGATATAAAGGCAGTTGTCAGGTAAATAGAAGACACAAAGGCAGTTGTCAGGTAAATAGAAGATATAAAGGCAGTTGTCAGGTAAATAGAAGATATAAAGGCAGTTGTCAGGTAAATAGAAGATATAAAGGCAGTTGCCTGGTAAACAGGAGACATCAAGGCAGATGACTTCAAGTGAAATACAGATTTTTTGTTCTGGTGAAATGTCAAACAAGTTTTCTGGTGACATGTAGTTGGCTCTATGTGGGATCTGCAGTGATCTGAACATCTCGTAGGCTGGTAGCTGTTGGAATGCAGAAGGCTGTGTGGTGAAATGTAGGTAGCAGTGGAATCTCTCTGGAAATTGATGGGCCACTATGGAATCCCACAGAAAATTATCAACTTAGTAAAGGCAACATATAAAGACATGAAATGTCGAGTTCTTCATGAGGGAAAGCTAACAGATGCATTTGAAATAAAAACAGGTGTGAGACAGGGATGTCTTTTGTCGCCTCTCTTATTTTTACTGGCTATAGACTGGACTATGAAAACAGTAACTGCTAACACCAAGAATGGAATTCAGTGGACCCCTACAAAACAGCTTGATGATCTGGACTTCACTGATGATATTGCTCTTCTGTCCCATTCACGGAATCAGATGCAAGATAAATTAAATATACTTAATGCGAGATCACAGCAGCTTGGTCTGAATATCCATAAAGGAAAGACAAAGATAATGAGAATAAATCAGGCAAATAGTAATGTGGTTTCTCTTAATGGCACCCCACTCCAAGACGTGGAGTCGTACACCTATTTAGGCAGTAATGTAGATAAAGATGGAGGAACTGATAGAGATATTAAAATAAGAATACAAAAGGCAAGAGGGGCTTTCATAGCACTAGGGAATTTGTGGAGGTCAAAAGAAATTAAAATAAATACTAAACTAAAAATTTTTAATTCTAATGTCAAATCAGTACTATTGTATGGGGCGGAAACATGGAGAACAACGAAGGTAATTACTAATAAATTGCAGACATTCATTAACTGGTGCCTGCGCAGAATAGAGGGAATAAAATGGTATGATAGAATAACTAATGTAGAACTTTGGGAGAGAACTAAACAGGCTCCAGTGGATCAGGAGGTGAGGAAAAGATGCTGGCGTTGGATAGGGCACACACTGAGAAAACAGGAGAACAGCATAACTAGAATGTCTTTGCATTGGAACCCACAGGGGCATAGGAATAAAGGAAGGCCAAAAAACACATGGAGAAGAGAGCTGGAGAATGAGGTTAGAAAGATTGGGAGGACATGGGGAGAGCTCCATGTAATGGCGAAGGATAGAACGACTTGGCGTGAGTTGGTTGAGGGCCTATGCTCCATTGGGGGATAGAAAGGCAGAAGAGAAGAGTGGTTACATGCAGTAAAGAAGGTAGCTGTGGTTACATGCAGTAATGAAGGTAGCAGTGGTTACATGCAGTAATGAAGGTAGCAGTGGTTACATGCAGTAATGAAGGTAGCAGTGGTTACATGCAGTAATGAAGGTAGCTGTGGTTACATGCAGTAATGAAGGTAGCAGTGGTTACATGCAGTAATGAAGGTAGCAGTGGTTACATGCAGTAATGAAGGTAGCTGTGGTTACATGCAGTAATGTAGGTAGCAGTGGTTACATGCAGTAATGTAGGTAGCAGTGGTTACATGCAGTAATGAAGGTAGCAGTGGTTACATGCAGTAATGTAGGTAGCAGTGGTTACATGCAGTAATGTAGGTAGCAGTGGTTACATGCAGTAATGTAGGTAGCTGTGGTTACATGCAGTAATGAAGGTAGCTGTGGTTACATGCAGTAATGAAGGTAGCTGTGGTTACATACAGTAATGAAGGTAGCTGTGCTATGAGAAAGCAAGCAGTTACCTGGTATCTGACACCAAGGGTGGATGCGATGAGATTCAAGTCTTCCTGAGACAGGATACACGGGCCACCATCTAGGGTAAGAGCCTCAGACATCTTGAAGCTGAGCAAAAATCGGAAATAGGAACAATATTTTTGAGTTTGTTAACTCCAAACATTGGTACCTGCTGTATTATTAACAGTTTTCCAGGCAGAATAAAGATATGACAGCTCAGAATGAGTAAATTAGTGCTGTTTGAAAGTCTGATATAACTGGGCTAGTTCTGTGAGCCACATTGTCAATGGCTATGGATGTTATCAAAGTCAGCATGCAGATTTTCCTTATATCCCATTACAATTTTCCTCAGTTTACTCCTAGTTGTAAAATCTGATTGTGATACGATTTCTCACCACATAAATCTGATTGTGATATGATTTCTCACCACATAAATCTGATTGTGATACGATTTCTCACCACATAAAATGCATGGGTAGGGAAAATCAGGATTAGCTACTACTTTCAGAAAGAACTGCCAGGACAAATATGCAAGAACAAGCCAGCAAGGGAGTAGTACAGGGGTGTCCAAAAGGGTAGCTGTGTCTCTAATATTGTTCCTAGAATTTATAAATGACTGGCAGAACACTGTCCAGCCAAAACATACAATTGTCTTATGTGAAGATAACCCAGCCAAAGACTACAATTACCTTATGTGCAGATAACCCAGCCAAAGACTACAACTGCCGGTACTTAATTTATAACTTACCCCTGACGTCACGACAACGTCACGGGAGACATTCCCAATAAATTCTAGGGTGTTCAGGTTGTAGTTTCTCACGATTTCTCTACAGTAAAATTTAGGGTTAGGGTTAGGATTAGAAGACACTAGATGAACACTCAAAAAAAGCACCACACAACAGCACACTTGCACCCCTTGAAATAATGGACTGTCAGGTCAGCTGTGGATTTCCCATGGGGATTTCCTGTTTGGGGTACGTTATAAATTAAGAACCCAACTGCCTTATGTGCAGATAACCCAGTCAAATGGAAAATGTGTTCAGCTAATATAAGGATGCAGCCAGCCCCATCGTACCAGTGTTGAAGGCATGGCGGAAAGTATGAATAGTGGAGATCAGTTGGGAGAAAACAACATGCAATGTACTCCCTCTCACATATAGCTCTAAACCAGTGCTGAATCAGAAACAGACATTATCAAATACAACAGACAGCACTCTTAAACCAGTGCTGAATCAGAAACAGACAGTATCAAATACAACACACAGCACTCTAAACCAGTGCTGAATCAGAAACAGACAGTATCAAATACAACACACAGCACTCTAAACCAGTGCTGAATCAGAAACAGACAGTATCAAATACAACACACAGCACTCTAAACCAGTGCTGAATCAGAAACAGACAGTAGGCCAGAACTAAGCAAATTAAATAATACAGTCATACAGGTAAACAATATTTTATTTAACTTTGTAACTTACAAACGATCTGTCACTGCAACAGCAGTTTTATCTCAGGAGAATCGACAGGTTGCACTTCTTCTATGTGGTTATATGTTAGTTTCCTGTGTTATCTCTGTGTGGATTCTTTGGTCTGGATAAGTCTGTGACAACAAGCGTTCCAAGAACCTATGTGGCCATATACAAGATAAGGATAGGAAGTAGACACTCACTTTCTGTACATTCAGTTTTATGTAACAGGGACAGATTTCCTTCAGTGTTACAGTGAGGCTGACTGTGTGACTGGGAGTAAGTGAATGAATCAATCAATCAAGACTGAATCATTCACACTAGGTATGGATAAGCTTTTCTGCTGCACCACCTGTTTGATTATAGACAGCACTGAGAACATCCATCGTAACATCCAGTAGCTGACCCAGTCAGATTACAGCCTGATATGATCCTGGACAGATGTGATGTCCCAGGACTAATCTTGCCCCACCCCCCACTGTCCCAGGACTAGTCTTGCCCCCCCCCCCACTGTCCCAGGACTAGTCTCGCCCCCCTCCCCCCCCCCCCACTGTCCCAGGACTAGTCTAGCCCCCCCTCCCCCCCACTGTCCCAGGACGTCTCGCCCCCCCCCCTAATGTCCCAGGACTAGTCTCGCCCCCCCCCCCCACTGTCCAGGACTAGTCTCGCCCCCCTCCCCCCCCCCCACTGTCCCAGGACTAGTCTAGCCCCCCCCCCCCCCACTGTCCCAGGACGTCTCCTCCCCCCCCCTCTAATGTCCCAGGACAAGTCTCCCCCCCCCACTGTCCCAGGACTAGTCTCGCCCCCCCCCCCTCCCCTGTCCCAGGACTAGTCTCGCCCCCTTCCCCCCCCCCCCCCCCCACTGTCCCAGGACTAGTCTAGCCCCCCCCCCCACTGTCCCAGGACGTCTCGCCCCCCCCCCCCCCTAATGTCCCAGGACTAGTCTCGTTCCCCCCTTCTAAGAACTGAAGATAGTCAGTTGTGTATTCTTTAGATGAGCATGGAGAGTGTGCATATCTGTGTAGAACTGAACAGTTGTGTACCTATCATTGAAAGGAATTTGTGAACCAAATCTAGCATTTGTTGGTTATTTGTGTTTTTACTTGGGTATATTTATGTTTTTTTTTTTTCAAGTACATTGTTTACTTTTTTATCAGGTCTATACCCGAGCTAACTTCACAAAAGCATATAGGAGAATAAGTAAGAAATATTAATTGTATTTCCATGATAAAAAGCACTACAGTATAGTCTCTATACATCGACTTCAATAATGAAATCAGAACTCAGTTAGTCGTTAGAATCAGTCAGTCAAGAACTATAAACGTAAACAAACATGGTACATTCCTGGGTTTTTACTCTGCAAACTAAAATAATTTCTGGGTGTAAGACAGACTACACAGTACAGAGTACATGTTTTAGGGAAGCATTATGTTTAGATCAATGGCTGCCAGCCAGTGTATACCCCATCCACGTATAACGAGTATCAGCAGAAGTGTGTGCAGGAAAGCAGGGACGTATTTGTGGGAGAATAGGGACGTACTTCTGGAAACCACCACTTCAAAACAAACCTACCCCAGGCTGGACCGGAAACCGTTCTACGTCATCACTTATAGAGCTCGTATTATATAAAACTGTAACTCGCCAATAACACGACACGCAACATAAGTTGGCTTTTATTTGGCTACCTTCTCTCCTTTAGCCTCCTTCTTTCTGTCTACACCATTTGTTTGAACTTGTTTAGAAAAAATTGAAAAAATTAAATTCAAGCTTGTTAAAATCCCCTTAGAATTTGTCTTCACAAAGTTCGGTTATAATCAAAAAAGTCTTCTCCACTCTATCTACGACTCGCAGTGGTGCAGTAATATCTGAGCGTTGATTCGATTTGATTTGATTCAAGAACCGACATCACAGCACTCGGGACATTCCCATCAGCGCTCCGTCCCCATCTTCAGCAGCCAGCAGAGACTTTAGATACTAATGGTGCCAGTAGCATTCTGATTCAACGTCCGTCTTGCCTTTCCTCTGAGCCTCGAGCATCTGCTAGTACCTCTCGTCACTCATTGCTGCATCAATCTCGCCAGTCTGTGGTGATCAATCTGCTCCTCCCAACTGTACACGCTCTCTCACAAAGTACTAACAACGTCTGCCTTATCAGGTATCAATATGCCACCAAGTTGTGCAGAGCCAGCCAGTCTGTCCGCCTGTTCATTTCCCAACACACCGGCGTATCCCTGTGAAAAAAATCAAGACAATACTCCTCACCTGTGTCCTCCGCAGCGAAGCATGCCTCTCTGCACGAAGCATACCTGTTCTGATCTTCCTCAGCATGCTTTCTGAATCAGTTACAATCACAATGTGTGTGTATGTGTGTGTGTGTGTCGTGTTCTCTAGCCAGCGGAAAGCTGCAGTGACCGCCTCCACCTTAATTCTTAAGCTGGATGTTGTGGTATCATACACTAGGCTCTCCTGCACCAAACCTTAGCTAAGAAGCCCCAAGCTTCTTCTTTTTGTCTGTTGACACTGAACCGTAATGTCAGCAAGCGCACATTTCATGTATGCATAAATAAAAAATTTACATCACTGCACTCGAGTCATTCCTACACATGCTCATTCCCCTTCTACAGCAGCCAACGAAGAGTCGACATGCTAATAATACCAGTTGTAACCTGATTAAAAGGTCGCTTCTGTTTTCCCGTCAGGGTTGCATGTCTTCCTGACCCTCCACTCACCCCCACTGAATTCCCTCCACTCACCCCCGCTGAATTCCCTTTACTCACACCCGCTGAATTAGTCTTTCAGTGAATGGCTTCTTTTTCTGTTCTTTTGCACTGTCCATTTGATCTGAAAGAGCCTTGACCACTCCCACTTTGTCAAAAAATAGCTCACCGCCCAGAGAGGCAGCAGCAACCAGTCAATCAACTGCTCATTACCCCGCACACCCGAATACCCTGGACAGAAAATTCACCACATGCTCCTCATCTGAGTATTTTCAAGTATTATTAACACCAGTTTATCAAGTTTATCAAGTTATGCCAGCCACTCTGTGTGCAGGACACCAGTTTATCAAGTGTTGCCAGCCACTGTGCGCGCAGGACACCAGTTTATCTGGTAATCTGGTAATTTTAATTTCAGCTTCATAGCAAACAGGTCACCCCATCTTTGCTCCGCTGCTGTGGCAACGAAAAACACACAGAATGTTTATACAGTCCCTTGTGGAAAGACTGACAAACTGCTCTCTCAGCAAATCTAGCATACACTCGCATTAAAAGCATATAGTAGCCATCCGAAGTGCTAACACAAACAGTCCGACGTTAGAAATGTAGCTCATCATTGATGGTAGCAGAAGTAATTAAAAGATCAGCAGTTGCACACGCGATCAATTTTAATCAAATAGTGGCCCCACCAATATTGCGACAACCGGCATTGCGCCATTTTCTGAATCTACAAATCACACCACCACGTTGGTCAGTCGAAAAACATTCCAAATGAAATCCGCAGCTCACAGTGTCACGCCATGCGCTCAACTCAGAGGCTGGGCAACGAAACTATATACTTCAAGCCACTCAAAACGCCAGTTTCAATTTTTCCAAAGCATGCTCTGTGAGTCCTTTACACTCACAACATCTCGAGCCGTG